CCTGAGTGTGGACATGGCACCACTGGTCAGGCCATGCTGAGGTGGTGTCCCACATGCTATAACTAGGAGGACCCACAACTAAAATATACAACTATGTACTGGGGGTATTTGGGGAGAAAAGGCAGAAAAAAGAAAAAAAAAAGAGGACTGGCAATAGTTGTTAGCTCAGGTGCCAATCTTTAAAAATAAAGAAGAAGAAGTAGAGAATTTGAATAGACCAATCACCAGTAAGAAGATCGAAACAGTAGTCAAAAACCTTCCAAATAATAAAAGTCCAGGACAAGACAGCTTCCCTGGTAAATTCTACCAAACATTCAAAGAAGACAATACCTATCCTTCTCAAAGTCTTCCAAAGTTGAAGAGGAGGGGGAGCTTCCTAACTCATTCTACGAAGCCAACATTATCCTGATACCAAAACCAGAAATGGACAACACAAAAAAAGAAAATTACAGGCCAGTATCACTGATGAACATTGATGTAAAAATCCTCAACAAAATACTAGCAAATCGAATACAACAATACATTAAAAAGATCATACACCATGATCAAGTGGGATTTATTCCAGGGATGTAGGGATGGTTCAACATCCACAAATCAATCAATGTGATACATCACACTAATGAAATGAAGAATAAAAATCACACGATCATCTCAATAGATGCAGAGAAAGCATTTGACAAGATACAGCATCCACTTAGGATAAAAACTCTGAATAAGATGGGTATAGAAGGAAAGTACTTCAACATAATAAAGGCCATATATGACAAACCCACAGCTAATATCATTCTCAATGGAGAAAAACTGAAAGCTATTTCTCTCTAAGAACAGGAACCAGACAAGGCTACCCACTTTCACCACTCTTATTTAACATAAGTACTGGAAGTCTTAGCCAAAGCAATCAGGCAAGAAAAAGAAATAAAAGGCGTCCAAATTGGAAAGGAAGAAGTAAAACTGTCACTATTTGCAGATGATGTGATTTTATATCTAGAAAACCCTAAAGAATCCACTAAAAATTATTTAGAAATAATAAATGAATATGGTAAAGTTGTAGGATACAAAATCAACATACAAACATCAGTTGCATTTCTATACACTGACAATGAAGCAGCAGAAAAAGAAATTAAGAATACAATCTCATTTACAATTGCAACAAAAAGAATGAAATACCTAGGAACAAACTTAACCAAAGAGGTGAAAGATCTGCACACTGAAAACTATAAAACATTGTTGAAAGAAATTGAAGAAGACAAAGAAACGGAAAGATATTCCATGCTCTTTGATGGAAAGAATTAACATAGTTAAAATGTCCCTACTTCCTAAACAATCTACAGATTCAATGCAATCTCTATCAAAGTCGCAACAACAATTTTCACAGAAATAGAATAAAGAATCCTAAAATTTATATGGAACAACAAAAGACCCCAAATAACCAAAGGAATCCTGAGAAAAAGAACAAAGCTGGAGGTATGACACTTCCTGATGTCAAAATATACTACAAAGCAATAGTAACCAAAACAGCATGGTAAAAAGAATGCAAAAGAATGAAAGTAGATCATTATCGTACATCATACACAAAAATTAACTCAAAATGGATTAAAGACTTGAATGTAAGACCTGAAACCATGAAACTTCTAGAAGAAAACAGGCAGTACGCTCTTCGACATGGGTCTTAGTAGCATATTTTCAAGTACCATGTCTGATCAGGCAAGGAAAACAACAGAAAAAATAAACAAATGGGACTACATCAAACTAAAAAGCTTCTGCACAGCAAAGGAAACCATCAACAAAACGAAAAGACAACCTAACAATTGGGAGAAGATATTTGCAAACCACGTATCTGATAAGGGGTTATTAATATCCAAAATACACAAAGAACTCATACATCTCCACAACAAAAAAACTAACAACCCAATTTAAAATTGGGCAAAAGATCTGAACAGACATTTCTCCAAAGAAGATATACAGATGGCCATAGGCAAGTGAAAAGATGTTCAACATCATTAACTATCAGGGAAATGCAAATCAAAACTACAATGAGATGTCACCCCACGCCTGTCAGAATGGCTATAAATAACAAGACAGGAAACAAGAAGTGTTGGAGAGGATATGGTGAAAAGGAAACTCTCATATACTGCTGGTGGGAGTGCAAACTGGTACAGCCACTATGGAAAATAGTACGGGGATTCCTCAAAAATTTAAGAATAGATCTACCATACAATCCAGCTATTCCACTGCTGGGTATTTATCCAAAGAACATGAAGACATGAATGTGTAAAGATACATGCACTCCTATGTTCATTGCAGCATTATTCACAATAGCCAAGACTTGGAAACAACCTAAGTGACCATTAAGAGATGAATGGATAAAGATGTGGGATATATACACAATGGAATACTACTCAGCCATAAGAAACAATGAAATCCAGCCATTTGTGACAACATGGATGGACCCTGAGAGTATTATGCTAAGTGAAATAAGTCAGATGGAGAAAGTCAAATACCATACGATCTCACTCATAAGTAGAAGATTAAAACAGCAAAGAAACACATAGAGACAGAGACTGGATTGATAGTTACCAGAGGGGAAGCAGGGAAAGGGGAAGTCGACAGGGGTGATTAGGCATATGTGTATGGTGATGGATTGCAATTAGTCTTTGGGTGGTGAACATTATGTAATCTACACAGAAATCAAAATATAATGATGCACACCTGAAATTTATATAATGTTATAAACCAATGTTACCACAATAAAAAAAAATGGTCCCAGTGCTTTATCTGAATGTGTCTCCTGATACCTATGGGTCTCTGCCGTGGAACACAGGGCTGCGCACACTCGCAACTTATCCATAGGCAGAAACCCTCCATAGATTCAGACTTCAGAGTCAGGGATCCTTATTTGCCTGGCAACAGTGATCACAATGCTGGCATGAAATAAACGCTCAATCAATGGTTTCTCAATGGCTGGATGGTCAGATGGTCAGATGTGGTTCCAGGCAGTTTAATTTTATGAGTTAGGAATCAAGACAAAAGGCTGTTAATTTCAAGTCTGACTGTCAAAGATTCTTCTAACACATCTGAGGCCTCCATCCCTGAGCAGCAAAGCCCACTCCTTACAGCTGGAGAAAGCAGAGATGGGGATTCAGGAGTACTGAGACAGGGACGCCAACCCTAACCCTGGTCTTGGCTTGGGTCACTTTAAATTTCTCGCTTCTTTCTCCAAAACATAGGACACCAGGGGCGGGGGAAATCCCTTTTAACCACATATTATTCAACCAAGTCTACCTTCACGGTCCCCCCATGAAAGGAAAAGCAGTTGCCCCTGGCTCTGAAACCAAGTTCCCCAGATGAGTTCAGAGAAAAATTTGAAAATGGGTTGTTCGTAGCCTAACTCCTGGCAGCAGCCTTTCTTCTGCCCATGTGGTGCTCCTCACAGCCAGCATTCAATCCCAGTGAGATCTCAATCCCCAATAAGATGCAATTTACTGATAACTTCACGGAGGGCTCCAGGCAGGGCAGCCAGACACCCAGGCTGCAAATCTCAGGAGCACTCACTTGATTCATGAGGGCTAGGGGGCTCCTTAGAGTCTGCACCCTTGGCGCCTGGCTTTCTTCCCCCAGCCTGACCCTAAGCACACCCATCTGGACCTACCTTTTCCATTTCCATTCAGCCAGCAGCCCTTCTCTTCCTTGCCATCAGCTCTGCCACTGCATGATGTACACCTCTGCCATGACCCCTCCCCTCAGCTGTCCAGCATGCTTCTCCCCGACCTGTTGCCAATCGTTCCAACTTCTGTTCTTGGGAACTCTTTTCCCAGTTCATGATCTCATCACACCTCTCAAACTTGATTAATAGGTCTTCTGTTTTCTCCATTCAACTACAATTCAAGCTCTTTCTGGCTACAAGCTTTGATGGCCCTGGATTAATCCCCCGTCCCCCACCAACTGGCCAAGCTTTGGAATCTGACACACAGACATGGGTCTCAACTCCACCTGCAGTCCTAGACCCATATTACTTGTGGGTGGAAGGCACTCCCCAGTGCTCCCAAGCAGACATGATGGGAAGGTGGGTAGCCACTCTGATCTGCAGGTCAAGCAGGCCCTGGCAATACGAGACTCTGGCCTTTTCTCCACCCCTCCATCTCCGCACTCTTGCAGGCCTCACCCCCACCTGCACTATGGCTTCAGTCTCCCAATGGGACTCCCTTTTCCCTGGTTCAGATTCTTTGCTTCAGTTTCTGTTGGGTACATATCCCCAACAGTATGGTGGTTAAATCTCCTCAAATCCTTTATGGAATAGGTGAAATATACATAAGCATACAGCCAAAGAAACAAATACTAGTCTCCCTGCTCCCAAACTTGCTCACTTCAATCAAAGTACCACTTTGATGGATGATACGATCATCCTACTCTCTGCCTTAACACCCATCAGTGGGTTTCCAACACAGCCCCGCACAGGGTCCATTCACACTGTGTTCTCCAGGATATTCACCGGTAAAACAACAGTAAACTGCAAGAAAAAGGACCAAGCTAAGAACATTCTATGTTCTAGAAATTGTAGGACAGAGTCCTAACTCCTCCAGGCCCCCCACGTCTCACCCCAGCTCACCTTTCAGCCCCTGCCCTCATGCACACCCTTTACTTGCAGTACCTGACATGCAGCAGACCTGCTAGTGCCCCTGTCTTTGCACACAACTTACCCCCTTGCCATTTCTCCTTCCTTGCATGTCAGGCTAAGTGTGACACCCTCTTGGACTCTGCCTTCCCCAGTCAAAGCAGGCTGGGCAGGTGGCCTTTTTGGAGATCACTCACCTTTGTGACTGCCTTCCTTATTCCTTCCTCTCGTAAATAATCAACTGAGCACACACCGCATGTCAGCCCTGTGCTAGACGGGGATACCGGCAGGGGAAAATGTAACACTGAGGACAGTGTGATGCCAACGTCCTATCAGCACGGAGTGAGGCTGGTGAGCAGGCTTCCGCTGAGCTGGCTTCCTTGCTGCACTTTGCAGCCTTGACTATTAATTGTGGATCTGTTGCTGTGGCCACCAGACTGTGACCTCATGGAGGGCCAGGGCTGTATCTGTTCATGTTTATACCCTAGCACCCAGCAGAGGGCCTGCCACACAGTACAGCAGGAAGGAGGGGTAAAAGAATGGACTCCACAGGCCTGGTGATCAAGAGCCAGCAGCCAGACACTCTCAGGCTGAGTTCTAAGTTGTAAAGCCACCTCTGGGGCTGCTCTCTAGGGTAAGCCCTAAATTAGCTCTATGTGGAAGGGTGGAGTGGTTCACGACCTGAAGAAAGTTGTGGATTATTTATGGCACTGAGGTATTGAGCAGTAAAAAGAAGCTGAGTTTTTCAAGGAATCACTGGTAAATTTTGAAACGATGTAACCCGTATGTGCGTGTATGATTTTTAAGCAACATGACCAGGTTTCTGAAGCCATCCACCATGCTGAAGGGACCAGAATCCTAGCCTCTGGCTAGCGGGACAAGCCTTGCCCATTGTACCAGGGGAGGAATCCATCCGGACCCCCGCGTTAGAAGTGGGACCACTTGTAAGCTGCCACCTGGGCTCTATGGGGGAGGCCCTGTCCTCACTGTGGGGTGAGAGGTGTCACTTGGGGTTTACACAGCTGCTGTTGGCCTATGTCAGCTACTAAAACTCTGCACTGTGGATGTCAACATTTACACGTGAGCAGATAACACAGAACCATGGGACCTGTAAAGAGAATCAGCAGCCAAAATGGGGACCAAACTGATTCTCAGCCCATACTGAGAAAAGGGTAATGTAAGAAACACAAACCTTCTAAAAATTCTAAGTTTGTTTTTCAGGGAGATTTAAGAACATACTACACTGGAGAACAAGAGCAGGCTGACAAGAAAAAGCATCCTGAGAACATGAACCTTTCTTGGCAATTAAAAAACACAACGGCTAGGGAAAAAACCAAACCCACAAAACTCCACACATGCAGCAAAGAGCAGAAAGGAGTCTCCTAAAAAAAACAGTTGGTCAATTAGAAAATCAATTCAACAAACTCTGAAAATCTAGAAGAAAAAAGGCAAAGTAACAGAATTAATGAAAAAAAAGGTAGATGGATTTGGAATTCTAATCTCTACACAACAACAGTTGCAAAAAGAAAACATAAGCAAATGAAGGGAAATCAATTCATAAAAAAGCAGAAGACAATTTCTTTGATCTGAAGAAAGACTTGAATTTTCAGATCAACAATATCATGGAAGATTATTGAGGAAAGAAAAAAAGACCTAGACCTGGATATAGCTTGATCAATCCTTCCCAAGAATAACGAAAAACTTATATAAAAATCCTTAGCAAACAAAAAACAGATTACCCGCAAAGGAAAAATAATTAGACAACTGAATTCCTCACCTGCAAGAGCGGAGGCCAGAAATTTATGAAGCAATGTTTATACATTCCAAGATGAAAGAACTGTGATTGTGACTTCAGACTCTTAAACCTAGCGAAGCTTTCCTTTCTGTGTGACATGCAAGTTAAGACACTTAAAGTCTCAGAAAGTAAACTCTTTCTGAAAAGCAACACCAAAAATTACTTGAAGTATTCCAGCCAAATGCGAAATTAATCACCTTAAATAATTCAAGAAAGGAGAAGATATGCTATAGAAAAAATTATGTGAGCAATGAAACCAATTAAAATCTAAGATAATACATAACAAGTGGGTTATAATGTGATGATGACACTTAATAACTGTTAAGAAAGGATGCTTGGAATAGAAAAGGCATAAAAAATTTGGTAATAATCTAGAATTAAAATTTCATGTTATTTCAATTAAATTTGAGTCTGGGAAGGGAAAGAGGAGTGAAGAAAAAGTACGCTAAAGGTTTTATCCTATCTAGAAGAATAGTCATAATCTACTCTTGATCGAGAGATACACACACATATGTTTTAATATGTTTGTTAAAAACCTAAACAAGAGTACAAAGAGGAGATATATTGGTGTATGTGTGTGTGCATGTGCTACATAAAGAATACATATTTTTTTAAATCCTAGTAATATGTTAGTCCAAGGAATATGGTAGGCTCCAAAGAAAAGCTCAATATTGTCTCAGATATAGAACTCTTACACGTTAACTGACCATAATGTAGAAATTAACATCAAATATAGAAACCGAACATCACAAACCACTTGAAAATTTCAGAAAATACTCTTCCCAAAACTCATCCATCAAACAGAAAATTTTCCAAAAGAGAAAAGATTGAAATTATATATATTTGAGAAATGATTGACTATGTGAACACTACTTATCAAAGTTATGGGATGCAGCAAAAGTCATATTCAGAGGAGCTTATTAAATAATAAGGATAGCAAATAAATGAATTAAAGTTCATTTATTTAGTTCAATGAGTTAGGTGATGAATAATGACAAAAATGTAAAACAAAGAAAATGATGATAAAAACAAAATGATTAATTAGAAAAAAGAAAAACATTAATATCCGTAAGCAATAAAAGGAAAGACCAAAAGCTAGTGCTCTCAAAAGATCACTAAAATAATTACAAACATACAACATTAGAAATAAGAAAGGAGGGGCCAGCCCCATGGCCGAGTGGTTAAGTTTGCGCGCTCCACTGTGGCGGCCCAGGGTTTCGCCAGTTCGGATCCTGGGTGCGGACATGGCACCGCTCATCAGGCCACGTTGAGGCAGTGTCCCACATGCCACAACTAGAAGGACCTGCAACTAAGATATACAACTATGTACCGGGGGGGATTTGGGGAGAAAAAGCAGAAAAAAAAAAAAGAAAGAAGAAAGGAAATATAATTACAGGTATAGAGAGTTTTAAATTATGAAAGATAACTCAGAATAAACTAGAAAATTTTCCAGAAAATCTGACTCAAGATCCCAAACAGATCAACACCATGGGAAAAAAATCTATTCTCCAAAAAAAGGCATCAGTCTCAGATAGTTTTTCAAGAAACTTCTATAAGCCTAAATTGCTTATGTTCTTTAAACTGTTCCAGAGAAGAGAAATTATATGAATAGTAAGATTTTAACATTTATTAAGTACTTAATATGTGCCAGGCACTGTGCTAAGCAATTTATATACATTATCATGTTCAAAAACGGAAAGCTTACAAATTCATTGAAAGAAATTAGTATAAATGGATGAGAAAACTTAAAGAAATCACACATACTCATAAAAATTGATCATATCTATAAAAACAGATAATAGCTTAAATAAAAGAGTACTAAATGGAATCTAGCTATCAATTAAAACAGTAGTATGCCATGACCAAAGACACTTTTTCCTCCTGGGAATTAAAAAATGGTTCGTCATAAAGAAACCTATTGATATAATTCATTGTATAAAAGGTAAAAGGACACCTCCATAGAGTCCAAAAGAACACTCATTCTTGAGTTAAAAATAAAATAAAGTAAAATAACAGCAAGAACAAAACTCTTAGTAAACTGGAAATGGGAGGCAGGCAACTTTCATAATGTGACTTTAAAAAGTTACCTAAGGAAGTCAATAACAAGCAGCCTACTGAGCAAGAAAACATAAGAAACTTTCTGGTGAAAGAAAGGAATAAGATAAAGTTGCCTTTTCTAATCACTTCTGTGAATTATTCAATATTGTTTTGGCCAATGAAACAAGCTACAAAGAGGTAATATGTGTAAATGCTGGAAAGAAAAAAGTTTTTATTATTCGCAGATACGACTGCTCACCCAGAAAACCCAAACAATCAATTGAAAAACTTACAAGAATAAAAGAGCTCGACAAGATGACTAAATATTACTGTACATAAATTAAGAGCATTAGTGAATGTTAATGATAACCAGTGAGAAATCATAATGGAAACATATTCCATTCACAATATTATTAAATATTATAAGTTTAACTCTAAAAGCTCAAGACATGTGAAAAACTATAACAACTAAAAGGTATAACCAGAGATGAGGCCAATTCTCCCTAGATTTAATGCAATTTCAAGAAAAATCCCAATGAATATGTAAGTTCTGAAACTGCATAAATTATAAGAGCAAAGGAAAAGCAAAATCATTTTTGAAGAAGAATGGCAACACGCCCTATTGAATGCAAAGCTACAGACTTCCTTACAGCAGTAAGGATTACCCTAGGAATAGTCAGATGATTGGCACAGAACAGAGATCTACTGTATGTCTTCTGTATGTCCTCGTTCTGGGGGATCTGCTTGCAAAGGGAAGGTGCTCTTTGCCCACTGGGAACACACTGCAAACAGATGACTACGTGGGCATTTAGTACATGATCTAAAGGGCATTTCAGAGGAAAGCAAGAGTGGATTATTCAGTAAAAGTTGAGAGAACTGGTTTTCCATTTGGAGAGAAAAGCAAAGTAAGGATTCCTCCTTTATACCATGCACAAAAATAAATTCCACAGGAATTAAAGATTTAATTATAAAAACAAAACCATGAAATTACTAAACTAGAGTATGTATAAGAAAATATCTTTAACATTGGAATGGGAACAACATTTCCTAGGATGATCCAAGCCAGACACCACAAAGGAAGAGATTAACGGATTTGACTATATAAAACTAAAAACCTAAACACAATACCTCATATTAAATGAAATGACAAAGGTCAACATGGGAAAAATATTTGCACTATAACAGGCTCTTATAATTAGAGGCTAACTCCTCGAAAGAAAAAAAGAAACCCAAATAGGCAAAGGACGTAAATAGGCAATTCACAACGAAAAAACACAATTGGCCAATAAACACATGAAAAGCCACTGAACCCCAACCTTAACAACAGAGAGAGAAAATCACATTCAAACGGTAATATCGGCTGTTGAGGAATCCGGGGAGAACACATGCCGGTGGTGCAGGTGGTAAATCTCCATGCAGGAAGCAAGCCACACTCAGTTTAGCAGGGCTGTAGTTTGCAGTGTGTTCCCAGTGGGCAAAGAGCACCTTCCCTTTGCAAGCAGATCCCCCAGAACGAGGACATACAGAATCTTATACAAGCAATCTATTGGGGGGAGGGTCAAAAGTTCACCTAGGTATGCTACCATTTTGGCTAAAGGGGGGGAAATAAGACCATACACTCCAATAAATCTGTGTATTTCTTCACAAGGAAACTCTGGAAACATTCAAAACTAGTAACAATAGTTAACTGGATGGGGGAGGGAGAAGTGGTAGGAATCAGGCAAATGCAGACAGGGGAACGCAGACTTTGCCTTCCCTCTTTATAAATTTTTTGTGATTTTTTGAATCACATAAATGTATTATCTATCAAAAAACTGAATCAAAATCTTGTGCTGTTTAATAAAAATAATGATAAGTGGAGTTGATTTTTTTTTCACAGACATTCCCACATAGCACTGTGTTAACAGTTTTGACTTTTCAGACAGAAAGTAACTTCCTGCGTTTCATCCTCGAGCCCAGCTAGAGACCTCAGGCAGAGCTCGTGGAAAACTGCACTCTGAGACTTGCTAAGGGGCAGTTTGGTAACACGTATCAGAACATAAAATTTCCATACTCCACCCAGCAATGGCATTTCTAAAAATTTATCCTAAAGAAATTACTGGATAAGAGTGCAAAGATGATCCTATAGCATTCCTTATTACAGGGGGAAACTGGAAACTATTTACTACCTTCTCGCGTGGGATAGCATAAACTGTGGTCATGGCCACAGATGCTGCTGGTCTGCGGACCACACTTTGAGTTGCAAGACCCTAGTTCCTCGTCCCACGCTCCCAGCGCTGTGACTCTTTGGATCTCTGCTCCCGGCACCCTCTACCTGGCTCTTGGATGCTCCACCCCAACCCCGGGGGCGTCCCGCTCACCTAGTCAGCGTAGGGGTGCGGTGGTTGGGGTTGGAGCAGAAGATGTTGTTGGACTTGCGCGTGCTGTCCAGGAACTCGCGCACCGACTCGTTGCGGAGCTCTTGCAGGGGTCGGGCCTCATGCTTGAGGAACCACTGGTGCGCCTCGACGCACTTGGCGCAGAGGAGCTGCTCGCACTCGAAGCACCAGAAGTCGGCGGACTCTTTGCAGCGGGTGCAAATGGCCTGCGCTTCCACGATCTGCCGGTACACCGACAGGCGCCGCTGCAGACTCTCGAAGAAGACATTATCCAGGGCCAGCCAGTCAGCGCCTGGGGGCGGGGGTGCCTGGCAGATGGGGCATCGCACGCCTGGCACCTCCAGGCATCCTGAGCACAGCGTGTGTAGACAAGGCAGCAACTTAGGGCACTTGGCTTCTGCTTGGCAGCCCTGGCAGCGCAGGAACTGGAATTCCTCCTCTGTGGTTTGCTGGGGGACCAGACAGGGAGGGAAGGCCTTAAGTCCCAGGAGTTCCTATCCACCGGACACCCACCCCTATGTCTGGAGGCTGGAATGGGCCTTCATGTTCCATTCCAGGCAATTATTGGATGATGCAAAACCCAGGCTATCAGTAACCCAATCTCCCATTTACTCAGGCTTCTGGCTCTCACCCCACCATTAACTGAGCACCCACTTCCCCTGAGACACAGTACCAGGCCCTGAGATACAAGGATATATAGGATACATTCCTCCCTTCAAGGAACTCAGTTTAGAAAGTATATACATTAAGTTTCAAGCTCACATAAAGTGCTTAATACAGTTTGGGAGTACCTCAAAAAAGTTAAACATGGAACTACCATATGACCCAGCAGTTCCACTTCTAGATATATACCCCAAAGGACTGAAAACACAGACCCAAACAGATACTTGCACACCCATGTTCACAGGAGCATTATTCACAACAGCCAGAAGTGGAAATAACCCAAGTGTTCATCAACAAATGAATGAATAAACAAAATGTGGTCTACTCATACAATGGAATATCATTTAGCCTTAAAGAAGGAAATTCTGCTACAACATGGATGAACCTCGAAGACATTATGCTAAATGAAATAAGCCAGACACAAAAGGAGAAATCTTGCACGATTCCACTGATATGAAATACCAGGAGCTGGTGGGAAGGAAGAATAAGAAGCTATTGCTTAAAGGGTAAAAGTTTCTGTTTGGGGTGATGAAAAAATTCTGTAAATAGACTGTGGTGATGGTTACACAACATCGTGAATATACTTAATGCCACTTAATTGTACACTCATAAATGGTTAACAATGGTAAATTTTATGTTATAGGTATTTAACCACAGTAAAAAAAAATGCAAAAAAAGAAAGTGCTCAATAGAGTACCTGGCACATGAGAAAGTGCTCATAAATGTTAACTAGTATTGTTAGTAGTCTTATTCCTAGTTGTAATTATGCAGATAACACAAATTACTGCACTATAGTGTTATTTGTGCTCTCATGAATGGGGGCAAAAGGGCCTGGAACAGCACAGAACAAGTGATCAAAGTAGTTCCTTTGGGAGCAGGAGGCTGGGGGAGTTGCCCAGAAGACTAAGGCAAAGCTTCCAGGAGGAGGACCCAGTAAGCCCCCTTGGGGATGGGGGTTGGGTGGGCAGGGTTTTCCAAGAAGGATCTGGAAGGCTTCCTAGAGGAGAAACCACAGGAGCTGTGAGGCCTGAGCTGATACATCTCTCTCGTCTGGGCCACAGTTTCCCACCTTCTGATCTGGGCACTTAGATTTAAGTTTGTCCACACCTGGGACATTCCCCTGGCTTCAGGTGGGGGCAACAGGGCTACTACCTTCATCCTCCCTAATCTGTGGTCCTTCCCCTGAAGCAAGGGCTACCTGGCAAGTCGTAAGGATCAGTAGGAGAGTCCAGTTCCAGGTGCTACCGACCCTCGGCATCTTGCCCCCCTGCTCCTAGAGAATCGCAGCCCACAGAGGCTCCCCTAACTCATCCTAATTCCCTTTTCTATTCTCCACTACCCCTATCACAGCCAAGAGGGTCAGGACCCCAAGATCTGGTCTTCCCTCTGTGTCACTCTTTAAGGTACTTGGCCAAGTTTGCCTTTCCCTTCCCACCTCTCCCCTCCACCACAGCCAGTCAACAAGGCCTCAACCCCATCTCCCCAAACCCAGTAGTACCTCTGTGGGGCAGTGGCTGGGACTGGGCTGGTGGCCTTCTGAAAGGGACTCCGGGGGAGGCATGGTGGGTGCGTGGGGCAGCGCAGAGTCCTGAGGGGGCCCCGGAGATCTGGCGGATACAGGCTCCTGCTGCATGGAGCCCAGGTCAGTTTCGATTCTCGGTTTTGATCTTGCAGGGCGGGAAGCGAAGCTGAACAAGACGTGTGCGCCAGATGGCTGAGTCTCAAGCAGTAGGAAAGAGGAGGTGCCCGCTCAGAGCCCGCCCCCCGAGAGGAAGTGAGACAGAAGCTGGGGGCGGTTCTAGGGGCAGAGAGGCAGGCTGAATTTTGAAGACACACCCAGAGGGGAGAGGAGGAGAGAGGAGGAGAGGAGTAGATGCACAGCTGACCTGGGGGTAAAGGAATAGCGGCAGGGCTGAGCAGGAGGGAGGCAGCTCTCAGCCTCGGCTGCGAGCCACACATTCAGCTCACACTGGCACAGCTTTGTCCCAGCCCCTAGCTGGGAACTGGGGGCACAGAGACGAGTCACACATGGCCCTTCCTTTAGAAGAACCCCTGATCTAGTGGAAGAGCAGGTCCCTAAACTGAGATTTTCACAAAGTATTGGGACTGGCTGGAAAGGAGATCCTTTAGCTGCGACTTGGAGGAACAGTGGGAATTCACAGGGGATTCAGGGATTGGGGGAACACTCAGAGAGAACAGCATGTGCAAAGGCAGGGAGGTTGGAAATACGAGAGCACGTTTGGAAAGTAGTTTTGGTTATTTTCAGATCTAAGAGGGGACCCATGAGCAATGTCAGCCCAGGAGTGGTCTGGGCAAGATCATAGCTAAGAAGATGGACCAGTTCTGCGGGGGACAGTTGGTTTGGAACCAAGGAACAACACGATCCCTTCTGCATGTTGGGACAGTCACTCTGACAACCTGAGAGACACTGGGAGGACACTGAGTGGAGATAAGAGGAACAGGATGATGACTTGGGTGACAGTTGGAAAGGCTGATGAATCTGAGGCAGTAGGGGGTGGGGAGGGAAGAAGGAGACCTGGTGAATGAGTATGAGGAGAGTGATGAGAAAGCAAGTTAGCTCTTGGCCAGTGGAGAAGCAAGCCAGACCCCCAGCTGGTGGGGGCAGAAAATGCAACTCCAAGTGGCCTCACTGGGCCAGTGCCCAGTGTATCCATTCAGACCATCCCAACCACTGCGCTGACTCCTGTATACCCATTCTGTGCTTAGTTCCAGCTTGGAAGAGATTAGAGGGGATGGGGACTGGGCCTTGCTCTTGTAAAACTTATAGTCTGGGGTGTGTATAGAGGGGACATTGGGAGAGACTCAACTTCCCAGGGACTGTGTGAGGCTCAGGAGCCTGCCCTACCCTCCAGCCTGATCAGCACCCCTAATCAGGCCATCAACTAGGAAAAGCCAAAGATGGTGAGCAGCCATCTACAAAAGGACCTGGAAGTTGACTATGGCTGGGGGCCTGTGGGGCCTGAGGAGGTAGGACTGGCATGTGGCTGAGACAAGGACAGCTTTATTAACTTCTTGGCTCCCTTTGGAAGATAGCTGCCCTAACACCCTGTTGGAAGTTAGTGCTTCTCAGAGTAAATTTGCTATTTGTGTTTGGGTTTTCTCAAGCCATGGAAAGGCAAGTTATACCTCTGGGCACCTGGACCAAGGGGCACGCTGTTTCTGAGCCTCACCTCTGTGATGCTCTGCAGGGCCTGACCCACCCAGGTAGCTCTGTGCTATCCCCTCATTCCTTACTCTGCAGTGCTCCCCAAGGTCTGCACAGGAAATTTCTTACTTTTTGTGCCAAAGTTCAAGCCCTCCCGCCCGGCCTTGACCTCGGTGACCTGATCAACAGATAAGTACTGAGATCCACTTTGTGCTAGGCCTCGTTTTCTGGGCTGTGGGGACACGAAGAGGAATAATTTGCTGACCGTGCCCTGGAGAGACCATAATTCTAGACAACGGCTCCCCACACCCCCCCAGTGTGTCAGTTTGGAGAGGGAGTGCTGAGAAGCTGGTAGAATTTCCTTGACTCTGGAGAACATTCAGCTCCTGAAAAACCCGCTACAAGGCCCAACTTCCCCTCCCGCTCCTTTTCTAAGGCCGAGTGGGAGCACAGAGGAGGAGGCGAGAACTCCTACGGGCTCCGAGGAACGCAGACCGCCCTCCCTCCTCGCCCTACGGCCGCAGTTCGGGCCTCCCAGCGCAGGGGGCGCGGTGCGACGGCGGGAGCCGGCCGGGCCAGCCCGCTCCTCCTCCTGGCCGCGGCCGCGCCGCTGCGGCGCAGGGAAAGCCGGAAGCGGCGGCCGGCTGGGGCGGGGTGCGGCCGGCTGGGGCGGGGTAGGGCCGGCAGGTGCGCCCGGCTCCGCGCGGGGGCGGGGGTGTGCCCTGCGTCCAGAGCCATGCTCAGCAGGTCGGGGTATCGGGCGCTGCCCTTGGGGGACTTTGACCGATTCCAGCAGTCGAGCTTCGGCTTCCTGGGCTCTCAGAAGGGCTGCTTGTCCCCGGAGCGGGGCGGCGTGGGGCCGGGGGCCGGTGAGTGGCCACCCAGCACGGCGGACCCGGGGCGGGCACCGGCCGGCATCCCCGGGCCCGAAGTCTCTGCCTCTCAGGAGTCAGCCGGTCTGGCGCCCTTGCACTCTAAGAGGAGGGACCGAGAGGGGACACGATGTGGCGAAAGGCCTGGATTGGGCATGGGATGCTGGCGCTGATCCACCCTTCCTGGGGCTACGCTGCAGCCTCAGAGCTTTCTCATCTTACAAGAAGTCTCGCCCCATCACATTTCTCCTCGGCCCTTAACAGCCCTTTAGGTCTGGGCAGCCGTTGCAAGTTCCCATTTTGCCTAGAAGAAAATAAGATCTAGGCATAGGAGGTCACCAGCACACTGAGGGCTCTTGGCTGCAGAGAAATTGCAGAATTCTCACCCCAGGGGACAACCCTAGAGGCCCTGAGCTCCAGCATCTCCCTGTTACCTGGTGGAGATGGGTGGGCCAAAAAGGCAGGCCCTCAGCTGCCTGTTGTCTGCTCTGGCCCTGTTTTGCTCCAAAGCCTTGAGAGGTTCCCTTGGCCCACAGGTCAGAGTCCACATTCCTCAGCCTGGTAACCAAACCCTGGAGGATTTGGTCCCTCCCTGACCCTCCTGTAATGACAGCTGCCCCTATCCGAGGCTTCCTTTCCTGCAGTGGCCACATGGGTCAGCTATCCTGAGGCTCAGAGAGCCTAGAGGGTTTGGGGTTCTTGGGAGGATTGGGCAAGGTTCCTGTCTGCTTCCTGTCCGAGGCTGGGAGGAGAAGGGGAGCAGAGAATAACCTCATCCGAGATTCTGGGGCTGTCTCAGCTCTACTTTCATCCGGGGTTCTGGTTCTCTCGGGGCCAGGACCTCTGGTTCAGATGAACATCTTCCTAGTTCCCCTCCCACCTGAAGCAGCTTCAAGTGAAGCACACATTTGACAGTCTTTAGGGCACTAAAGTAGGGGGAAGAATTGTGAGCCGAGAAAGAATGTCTTAGCCCTCATCTATGGCTCCTATTGATGAGCCATTAATGCCTTATCCCTTTAGGCTAAGGCATTATCTCCAAAGGGACTCCTTGAAAGCACCCCTCTGAGGCTGATGGTAGAGGAGGAATGTGTGATGCCAGCAGTTTCAAGTTCAACCCAGCACATGTTTACAGAGGCCCAGGTGCTCCTGGCTCTGTGCCAGGTATGGGAAGGCAATATAAATCAGACAAGAGGATTGACTCCCGCTCTCAGCCTGGTGAGGACAGCATCACATGGATTGGCTTCTCAGACCTGATGGCCGTTGCCTAGCAGAAAATAGGCCTTGTGAGGGTAGGACTTGGCACAGATTAGTTTTGATGTGTGGGAGGAGGGAACAGTCCTTAACTAGCACCTGCCCAAAGATGTGGGAGTGTCAGGCAAGGAGGCAGATTGAGAGCCCAGAGAAGGAAGGAGCCACTGAAGGGGGAGGGAGGCAAAAGGCACACTTGACCAAGTTCACTCTGCCTGCCCCTGACCTGCCAGACCTGTTGGTGTTCTTTGACTGCCTCTGTTCTCTTGTCCCCAGATGCACCTCAGAGCTGGCCCTCCTGCCTCTGCCACGGCCTCATCAGTTTCCTGGGGTTCTTGCTGCTGCTGATCACCTTCCCCGTTTCTGGCTGGTTTGCCCTGAAGGTGAGGCTGACTGAGTGAGCCGCCAGGGTGGTTGGGCCACACCGAGGGCTTTGGCATTGGTGGATAAGTCCTCTGCCCCCTTCCCCTGAATATTACGTTACCATACTTCTGTGAAATGGACTGGGCGAGGATTGTTGATTCTCATCTTTCAGATCAGGAAACTGAGGCTTAGACGTGTCCAAAGTCATCCTGGGAGATAGTAAGTGGTAGAAACAAGTCTTCCTAAATTCCCCAGTCCAGGGGTCTGGACGCTGGCTTTAAGGTGGTGCAGATGTCTATGCCAATTCTTCCTCCCTTTGGGTTAGGCTAAATTAGAAATGAAAAACACTCAACTTGGCCAAGCAGGTAATGAGTAGTAAAAGGAAGTCAGGCCTCATTTTCAGCAAGGGGAGGTGCAGATGGGAAAAGGATGAACTAGAGTTGAGGCTCACACCTGAAAGCTGCAGGGAAAGTGGAAGTCCAGGCAGGCCTTGCCCTTGGTGTGGCCCTAGGCAAGTCACCTGCTCTAGAAAGCCTTAGGGGGTGGTGTGGTCTGGAAGGAAGTCCTTAGAAGGTCCTAAAATCCTGGTCCTAAAACTGCCTTTGAAACAAATACTGTGTGATCTTGGGCAAGTCATTTCTCCTCTCTGGTCTGCATTTCTCAATTTGGACATGTTAGTTTGAGGACTCCAGGGATCTGAAGTTGGCAAAGCCCTTTGCTTTGGGTCGCTGTTAGAGCAGCCCCACCTTTTCTCCTAACTAATTCAAGGGCAGACGGTTTCCTGGTTTGAGTCATGTCTAGCTGCAGACCGTAGAAGTGATAAGTTTCTCTGAGGATCAAGTCAAAACAGTGTAGTAGCTGAGAGCATGGCCTCTGGAGTCCTTCAGAACCACATTCAAGTCTTGCCAGTTTCACTTAGGGGCTGTGTGATGTTTGAGCAAGTCACTTAACCTCTGAGAGTCTTGGTTTTCTCATCTGAAAACAGAGCTAAGGATACCCCACACTGACGAAGACCAGGGGAGACATGGGGGAGGGCCCTGTTATTGCCAGCTCAGGCTCCCCACTTTCAACTCTTTCCCTTGTCATTGTGGACAGATTGTGCCCG